CCCCCCCCCCCCCCCACACACACACACACACACACACACACACACTCCTCTCTCCCTCTATCCCTGTTTTTTTTTACGCCCCTACTCACAATTCTTTGTCTAACACAGGCGACAGGTATCTGAAATCAGTGCGCGCGTGGTTCGCTGCCGGTGTAAAGCTCTGAGGTGGGACAAAGTTAATACGATTCGCAGAGTCTGCATCGTCCAATATCGTGTTGTATTCTCGTTTCATTTGGCTTAACGGATCAATCACCCTTATCCGGGCTGAGAAAGATAAGATATTGTTCGCTTTTCTAAGATGACCACTAAGTCTTTGGCCTCAGGAATAGGCTTTTAGGAGTCAAATGAATTAAGCGAGAGCAAATTTCAGGTGAACTTTGACCCGGGCCTGCTTCTCATCAGGGTCTGTGCTGGTCCGCCGACCGTGTGACTGTACATCCGGGAACTTGAATAAGACGAGTGCTGAGAAAAGTCAAGGGGTGTTTATCTGCCAATAGGCTGAGTTTTTCCGAGTTATTTGATGATATTTCCCTTGTGTTAAACGTGAGAAGGTTATGCGCGGATAATCGTATCAGTGCCGCGAAAGTGTATGATTGTGTGATTTCCGCACGGTGTTGACAGGCGGAACTCAGGTGTGTGATCGCGTGGTTGAGCTGTTGCACCAAAATATTCTGTGTGAGCCATAAAAACTTTCTCTTCGGTGTTTAGCACAGCTGATTGTGCGTTGGAAAACCAATTGTCGACTCAGGAAAATTGGATCTAGGTCTAGTTTCAGCGGGCTCTTGGCTTTGACCCATTTACGCCAGTTTTTGCAGATTAGAAGGTGATAATTTGTGTACTGTGTTTCAATCACTTTGTTGTCTATTCCATGCGAAATCCTGTCGTTGTAGTGTTTGCTGACTATTTAAGTTGATATGTAAGCCTTAACCAGGCACTTTTTGGCTGCAGTTCACTCAACTTAAAAATTTCTAGACTGAAATGACACTGGTTTGAAACTTTACGGAGTCAGATTAATGAATAAATGTTTTAAAATTTGCGTCATTTCAAATTTTGACTCGTTGAAATGCTTCCAGGGATCTCTAACTTACTACCCGGCGTCAGATAAACACTTTTAATCGGCCTTTGAATGATTGCCAAGTAGTAGAATGAGTTGACTTTTCTGCTAACCCGGTTTTCAAAAATCCATGTATAAGTAGTCTCACTCGCCGCCGCTCCCCCGCCCCTTCCACCCCAACCATGTTATACTGTATGGGACATGCCGAAATGGTAAATGACTTTTGGGAGTGAAGCACGAGTCGAACTGTGAAGTCGATGAGGCGAACTAAGTGACAACTAGACGAATAGGAGCAATTCATGACGAGACGATGTCAGGTCGACGAGACGAACCAAGAGATCGTCCTATCATGATTCCTTGGACGAATTCAGTATACAACTAGAAAAACCTGCAAAAAAAGCGACGATTTGAACGACCACATTAGTTTCGGATCTGACTTCATAGTAAAGGTTTCCAGCCCAGTTACGGAGATCCGAATCGCAGAAGGCAAAATCGTCGGTAACGGGCTAGCGAATGTCACATTGACAGATACATGCACACTAACTTTACGAAGGTAGTATAACCAGGGGTTTGAGCTCAGCAGTGAAGGCAAGCTGAACCGGTTGCCCAAGAAACAGGCTGCCCTAACAAAGGACTATGATTCGCACTGTGAATCCTATCAAGTTATGTGGTTGAAAGAAAATAAATCCAAGGTAAAGACTTCGAATCATCGGGGCTTTGCTATAACCGGACGTAGCTGGAGAGTGGGCGGTGGTTTTTATCTGAACAACCTAAATTGCATGTCGTAATCTTCTTGTTTGCAGAAGCCGCAGCCCCACGGGAAGAATTTCTCTCGATGTTTCAGACGATGCTGAGCGACAAAAAAAGGAGGGAGATCGATCTTAAAGAACAGTTACGGGTGAGTGAAAACGAAAGAAGACATGTCAAAGACAAAGGAAAAGGATAAAAACATTACAGTGATCGGAGACATAAGATGGCTCTGATAAAAAAAGTTCTAATGCTAAAGGAATTCATCGATCACTCTTTCAGAACCTGGGTACCGGCTTTCGGAAGAAATTCAGTAAGTGATGAAAATTTGGGGGTGAGGGAATTGGGACGCATTACAGAACCGACCCTCACTCTTCAGGAGCGCACTAAATGTTTTGAATTGTTTGCAACTGTGGGGAAAAACAAGTTTTTCTTAAAAACCAGTCAGCGGTGAATGTTTACCTCTGGTGGTGTATGTGACTTGTACAAAGACATGCTGCTAACCAATTGTGTAAAAGGACAGCAAATATAAGTTATGACCATGCAATAATTAGTTTCAGGCTGTATTGCTACAGTCGAATCTTTATGTGCGACCAGCTCTCGTACGCGTTTACAGTTGGAACTCTCGTAAACGACTAACTCCTGTTTAAGCGACCGCGACCACTGTTTGAATAATGGAGTATACAAAAAGGAAGACTACACTGTATTAACAAAACATTTTCGTTCGTGGAGAGCTTCCAAATGCACGATACAGAGTCAGACTAAGTGTTTTGTTCTGTTTGAATAAAAACCTTTATGAATTAAAATATACAAGACAGTCCATGTCAGCAACACCTTGCCTTGAGGCGCGTAATAATAAAACGTCCATTGAAAACCACCTTCCAGAGAACCTCAACGGCTGGAATGCTAAAACCCAAGACTTTCAACACTTCTTTCTAAACCTCCAACTGATTTGGAAACACATAACTTGAAATCATGATGTCGCGAGAATAGTGAAAATCATTTATTACTTTTACCGCTGATTTTTATCTTAAAATGATCGGTGGGCATATGTAAGATCAGAAACGTTCACCTTTGTTCACCTTTTTTTTAGCTTTAACGCAATTCATTTGAAATTTTGCAACAATGTAGAACTCACCATTCCATTTGGGTGGAGGTGGGGGTGGATGACGTCACAAAGTTCCCGCCAAATTTTGTTTTTAGTATTATAGGATATCTAATAATGGTTTCTAAAGGAAATAACCACAAGGATGTCAGAAGTGAAAATTATTTTGAAATATGCCTATCCACTCAAAAGATGTAGCGCTTTGAAATTTGAATTTCCCTTCATTTTGTGCTATTAAAATGATGCAGCCCATTGCGTGGCAATGAATGGGCAAATATTCGTTATGTCCGTGATGCCATAAATTTCTGCTTTTATTTTCGTTCGGCCCCATGACCCTCAACCTTGAAGTTTCCGCAAAGAACAGTAAAAAATTTGATTTCACGGACTTCCCAATGACACTTGCTTTAGGATCTCTCTGCAAACCATATCGCTCAAGGGGGCTTGTCTGGGAATTCAAACAGCGGCTTACAAAGACGTTTGACTTCGATGCAGTGATGCCTGTGCACGAGTTCTGTAACAAGCGTTCCCTTTATGTTTTCCCAGATCCTTGCGGTGCTAATTATAATGAACTTTTACTTTACGTGCTGGTCTTTCCACTCTTTGCGTTCCTTCTTTTAAGCTATCACACGGAGTAACTCGGAGTGGCGCAGTCTGGACAGAACAAGGGTTATGTGATGTTATCCACAATAGCTTCTAATTAGCAAATACGTTGAAATGATCTCAGCAGACAAACGCAAGAAGCTGTTCACTTTTTGAAGAAATCTTTTAGAAGTCATTTGGAAATTGAATGTCACTTTCAATTTTTGTAGAAAATGGAAGAACGCGATGAAAATTCCCAAAGGCAGTTAAGGGAAATGGAACGACGCGAAGAAAACTCTAAAGGGCAGTTAAGGGAGCTGCAGCAACGAGAAGAAAACCTTCAAAGGCAGTTGATGGAGATGCAGCAACGTGAAGAAAACTCACAAAGGCAGTTGAGGGAGATGCAGCAACGCGAAGAAAACTCACAAAGGCAGTTGGTGGAGATGCAGCAACGCGAAGAAACATCTCAAAGGCAGCTAAGACAAAATAGACAGCTGTTGGAGAATTGCCAAGGACAAGTTATAGCGCTACGGTCGAGTCTTTTAACAGCTCAGCGGACAATAAACGAACTGCGTCACCAGGAACCATGTGAATGGGTAATTCCGCGGAATGAAATTCAAATTACAGACAAATGCCTTGGGAGGGGAGGCTGGGGGAGTGTTTATGAAGGAACGTATTGCGGCTGCACTGTAGCAGTTAAGCAAATACATGATCTGATTGTCTCCCCTCATAACATACGTCTTTTTGAGAGAGAAATGAATATTGCATCCAAATGTCACTACCCTCACTTGCTTCAGTTTATCGGCGCTACTAATGATGAGGGAAACCCTCTGTTTGTGACCGAGCTCATGGAAAAGAGTCTGCGAGATTTGTTGAAGCAGCGGCAACTCTCCGAAAGAGAAATAGCGGTCATTTCTCTGGATGTAGCTTGTGGACTTAACTACCTTCATCAGAAGAAACCAGCACCCATCATTCACCGGGATGTGAGCAGTGCAAATGTGTTGCTATGGCGACAGGGTGACCAGTGGAGAGGGAAAGTGTCAGATTATGGCACTGCTAATTTCATGCAGCAGACCATGACAAAGGGTCCTGGAGCTGCGATTTACAGCGCTCCTGAGGCATTTACACCAAACCAAACGGTCAAGGTGAGTCTTGAACAATGATGTCGGTAGAAATTATTTAAGGTTCGGAAGTGGAGTTCATTTCAGTGGTGTGTTACCACCCCAACCCAATTTTAATAGATATTATTAAACTTAGGGAGCTCTGGATTACATCCATCCAGTATATGATGACATTCCGATAGAGGATGATTTTTCACAAGGTTGTCACGTGAATTCCTCTTCGTGAAACAGCTTTTCCCGCGGCGCGGTATGCTCGTGAAAAGATGAACTTGCCCGTTTTGTAATCCTTGTGTAAGAGAATCCGAGTTAAGGTGGCTCGGATCCATTTAGGTATCTGGGAAACTACCCACCTACCCCTCCCCTAACTCAACATTTTGCCCTAAGTGAGAAAAAAAGTGTTAATGTTGACTTAGGAGAGGGGTGGGTGGGCAGTTTCAGAGAAACCTAAATTGATCCTTGGCTTGACCCCGTATTTTTGTAGGCTTCCTCTATCTTTGAACTTCTTTTTGCCTAAACAGCTTGATATTTATTGTAAATAAATTAAAACACAAAAATTTGAGAACTGTAATATAATATTACTATTGAATATTACGTTATGATGACATCACAAGTCAGTTTTAGCTCTAAATCGAATTTGAGCCCTCATCCCCATTTTCTCTGGAGAGGCTCCATACTAGGTGTACCTTCTTCTGTACAAATCACACTCCCTTCAAAACTATTTTCTCTGACTTTCCCTACAACAATCAAACAAACGTTAGAACGACACAAGATATATACGCCATCAGAACACTGACCTATGAACTTGAAAAAAAATAGCCCAGCAAAAAATAGTCTAATAACAAAAAAATTCCAAAAGTAATTGTAATATAAAACATTTCAAAAATGTCACTATTATGTTTCTGTTATGTATATGTTGCTGTTAATAGGTCGACATCTACAGCTTTGGTGTTCTTCTTTGTGAGATGTACATCCGGGAACAACCAAATCCTGAATGCCGTGAAGAACAAGTCGTGCTTGTACCAAACGAATTGCTCAGTGACCTGGTTCGGCGATGCCTAGAGGCAGATCCTGACACGAGACCAACCATGCAAGAGATTATCGATGAACTGAAAGACTTCAATGACACACTTATCCGCAACATTTAAATGGGTTTGATTAATGTGTAGAGTATGTGTCTTCTCAGATTCTGTCAAATTACTTTCATATTATTTGGATTGAAGAAGACATGACAATTACTTTACTCCTGAGTCATTTTTTCTGAAACCTTTAGGAACAGTAAGTTACTATTTGTACGAATTGTGACCTTATCAGAATTGAAGCTTTTGTTGTGAGAAAAAAAAATTCAACTCTGTACTAAAACCACCGAAATGTACAATTTTAGCTTATTTTAAAAATCCATGACGACAGCCAAATAAAATGACGTCACTTCCCCAGCAATTCATATCCAGAATATCCAAATCATTTCGTAGACTTCATCAAAGGCTGTCCAGCAAAAGTTTAATCTTTGCCAATAGAGAGGAGACGTCCTTACGTCACGTTGCCATGGTAGCTAAATTTTTGGATGACAACAAACCTACAAAGTCACTTGAAAGTCTATTCGCACTATTTCAAACTTCACCGATCTTATTCAATTTCATTTAATTGCGCAAATCTTGGCGCAATCTTCGTTGGGACCGTATCTATTGTTATCTAAGTTTAGAAAAAGAAAGCGACAATTTTTGTGTTGTGTTCACCTACTCCATAAAGCGGGCTCGTGAAATTAAGAAGTTTCATGTCGTAGTGGTGTAACGATGGCAAAGAAATGTGCAAAATAGCATGATTCACGTGCAAAGTTGTTATTTGTTAATATAAATATACTATTTTTTGCCGTTCTCCTTGCCGTAGCCGTCGTCGTTGGTTTGTTGTCGTCCAGAAATAGTGACGTGACGTCACACTTCTCCTCTCTATCATAACAACATAGCAAAAGCCCTGGTGAGGGGAGGTAGGATTAACTGTCCCCCTCTGGACCAAGGGGGTGATACTGACTGCCGCGTGCGTCGGAAGATTAACTGGTTCCTTTAAATTATTTATAACGAGTAAACGTTAACCAGCTTTAGAGGAATCGATTGACTTCATAATATGAAATAACATTAAGCACCAAAAAACGGCTGCTCTGTTTGCAGATCTAGAGATCACAAACATGGCTGGAGGATTTCAAACACTTAGCGAGTCCAAATAATGTTGATTTTATACTTTTAAAACGTTTTAAATTTTGAAATGCTTTAACGTAATAACATTTTATGTCTTTTTGGATTTCACAATAAAAGGATAAAAAGGTAAAAATGTTCGCCCCCCTCTAGCTCGCATCTACCGCTTTCAATGGCGGAGAAGCCGAGCAATTTCTCGCTAAACTAGCAGTGACGCTGTCCCAGAAGAAGTAGATGGACTATGGCAGTGTAATTAAATTGGCTGAGAGCAAGACATCTTTAAACTCAGTGTCATGTGTAAGAGGCCAGTACACATATGACCAAAAAAGAGTGATTCAAATCGCAAATGTGATTGGAAAAATAATAGAGTAGACACATTTTATTTTTTTAAGCATTGTATAGAACATTTTTAACCCAAGCCTAGGGCTTTTTATATATACACTTTTAATATAGATTCTTAACAACTAATTTGTAGTAACTTTGATCAATTCTTGTATACCGTATTCTGTACTTTGTAAAGAATACGCTGTGTCTGTTTTCAAATAATTATTTTACTAAGTCTTCGGCCGGCTCCCCAAAAATTCACCATCAAGTTTGCTCCGCACCGAATACTCACTGAGTTAAAAAACTTGTTAACACCGAGTGTACTCAATATTGCGTCGTCTGGAGTCGAGGATCTAAGTCGTAGAATGATGCAGATTCAAAGAGAAAATAGTAACATTGTTTGCTGTAGAGGCTATTTTTTATTTAGTTTGATGGCTCTGTATAGGATTGCAAATGCTATGTCTGCCATGCTTTTCAAAATATTGTCGAGGACTGCATATGTGGTAACACCTGACAGTGGACAGTCAATGGGGCCATTTATACGAGGAAAAATAAGAAGCGTCTTACATAAGACGCGGCTTAAATAAGACGCGAACTTTCGGTATAAGCGGAACATTTCGTCTAAAATAAGAGGCGTCTTATTTTTCCTCGTATAAATGGCCCTATTATCCACTCACTAGGAGATGAATATTGTTGACTGATAGTCCGAGATGGCGAACCAATCAGATTGCCATTAAGCTGAGTTTTGTGAAACGGCACTAAGTCCGCTAAGATTTACCATCATGAATTTGTACACATAGAAGTTTTTGTTCGTGGGCTACTATAATGACTGTTTCTCGGCGAAAGGTTTCGTTATATTCATTTTTTTGTTCAATGTTTTCAGGGCCAGATTCTCGAGCGAAAAAATTAACTCGTTTCCCTGGGAAAAAAATCGGAACCAGACGTTATGGGCCAGTTATTTAAACAGAGTTTAGCTTGTGTTTAACAAAACCGCGTTCTACGCCATTTTTAGTTTGCCCAACGCTTTTACCCACTTAACACTATTTATCTTGATAAGTTTCATGAAAGCATAAGGCGTAGACTGGAACAGCACTTATTTTCTTAAAATTATCCACTAAGGAAGAGATCTGGAGGTCGAAAGATTTGCCACACCGCGGCCTAAGTTAGACTTCGTTTAAATAACCGACCCTATGTGTTCATATTATAGCTTAATTGAAATCTTGTCTAGCCCTTAGCACACTGTGTTTAATCAAATTTCTATTCTATAACGATACTAGAAAATGTACTCGTTTGGATATATTAATATTAGTATAATTTATATGTGTTGTAGTTAATTTTTTATCTCACGTAATTTTTATTTTTCCTTTGTTTCACACTTTGTTAGCATACATTATCATACCCAAAAACAAAAGAAAAACAAAAATAACCTTACATAAAAAATTAACTACAACATATGCAATATAATAAAGTACTAATGTAGTGCATAGCACCATTCTTAGTAAATTGTTCGCACCTCTATTATGTAGTTTAAGGCCTGGGACTAAGGGGTTTACCTGTGGAAAATGAATTATTGACTATAACTTCGGCATAAATCATAGCGCTGAATTAAAATTTGGCACACATAAAGAACTCATCGTCCTTAACATATTAAAATATAAATATTGTGTTGAAAGTCACGTGATATGTCACGTGACCATTTTGCTAAAAATCGTAAATTATTGACCAATTGGTGGCCGGTTTAAGAAAAGAAATCGAGCAATAATTTTTTCTAATTCATGTTATATGTTTCTAACACTTCACGTTTAGAATGGCTGTCCATTGCACTTCAATAAAAAATTATGAGGGAAAACGTCATTTTTAATGCCCAAATGTAATCTTAAATTATTTAAACCTGCAATATTAAACTTCGCGCACAATCACTCCAAACGTAGCAAGTTAGGTACGTTTATCCTCTTTCAGAAATGCCAATTTGTTTATCCCAACAAAGTAAATTCGTCACCAATTCGCCAATTTCCTTTATTTTTAATTTTTGGTCACGTGACCATAATTGAACGTTAAGGCACAAGAAAACCTCAAGATTTACTTTTGGGAAAAAGTTTATTTTGTTCTAGGTCTCCTAACAAGAGATATTGCAAATCATTCATAAGCTCAGAACACACCTTTGACCCAGGCCTTAAACCACTTGAGTAAGCAAGGGCTGTGGAGCCTTGAGATTCTGTGATCAAAATAGACATAGGTAAACACTACATAATTATTTTCTTTAAGGATGTATGCTGTGTTTTTTATTGCATGTATTTCAAAATGTTCTGGATAAAGTATTTTTTAGTCATTTTATAGCTAAAAACACATGCGGCAAAATGTATTAAGACTAGCAGAAGTATAACTACAATAACTAGCTAGCTTGCAGTAAAAACAGTGTGTATCTAGTTACAGTCATGCAAATATGGCCTTTATTACCTAGTATTTACTTTGTTACGTAATTTTAACACTGGAACGCAAAGATATGCATTGTTAACTTTTTAATTGTTTTATATAATATCTTTACTAATTTACTGATGTAATCAAGTTGCTTTTTTGTTTAAAAATAAAGGACTTTAATAAAACTCAAGTGCCCAGTTGTTCGAAGGCCGGTTAGCGCTAACAACATCAAATATAGTAGACAAAAAGAACAAAACTGAAAACACTTTTTAGGTTTTTCATATTTGACCTGAAATTTCGCACTAACCCATGGGTTATCTTAACCCAGCTTTGAAAAACCCGGCCAAGGCTCACAAAGTCGTTTTCTTTCTGAGGTGTTCTGTACTTTCGAAACCTCCAATTTTTTCCCAATTTGTATAGATACTCCAAGTCCTCATCGATATTTAGAGCAGCGGGTGTTAATCAAGATCTCACATCGCGACAAAGTGTCAACCTCAGAGAAACAAATTGGGTTACAACTGCTTCTTGAATGTATCATTCGCTGAACAAGTTGCCTCACCCTTTCCCGGAGTCCCACTACAAGGGCTTTTTCAGCCAGCACAAGAGATCATGAGGACAGAGCGGAAGTCTAGGGGCGTTGGCCGGGATATCTTGAATGAAAAAAAGTTATTTTTTGAAACTATGAGGACCATAGTTTCCGGTGAAATTGACTTCTGGAACACACTTTAGAATCTCGTTGAATAGTGCCTTTAAAAGACACAGAATAGGAGGAAGTACAGGTATCGAAAAGAGGAAGAAGAATAGATTGTGAATACCTCTGAAATCACTTTTGGATATAAGCATATAGTAAGCAAATTTGAGCGTCGATTTTTTTTTACCAAATATTATCATATATTAATGACTTGGGGACACCTTTCATGAGTTAATGAATGAGACATGTTTTGCTCCTACATGAGCTGCCTTCAAGAGTTGAACTACAGGCTACAGTCGCAACAGCATGGTTAGTTAATATAAGTTCAGACCACTGATTTGGAAAAGGAGTTGGCAAGTTTTAATTGTAAAAACATTAAAAAAAAAAACAAAAAGCAAGGTTGCAAGTAGAGTGTAAAGGCACGCAATTCCTTCTATTCTGAAAACAATAGAGGACACTACCGCTACAGAAAATACTTATTTTACATAGGAGAATGAAGGGTGGGGGGAGGGGCGCTAATACGAACAATTAAAGGTAAAATGATGTTAGAGTAATACATTATAAAAAAAAGATTAAATATTTAAAAAAAAAAAGAAAAAAAAAAAAAGAAAAAAAAAAAAAAAAAAAAAAAAAAAAAAAAAAACAAGTATAAAGAAGAAAAGTGAAACTATAACATAGCAAACAGATAAAAGATAAAAAGAAAAACAAAGAAAAAGGAGGGAAGAAGGGGTTAGGGGAAAAGGGGGGGGGGGGGGGGGGGGGGGGAGCGCTAATTCGAACATTTACGGGTACAATGATGTTAGCGTAATTCATTATAAAAAAAAGAATAAATATTAAAGGAAGATGAAGAATTTAGTTTTCAATTCTATAGTTCCTTTTTGATTTAATAAGTGGTTCTCAATAAACCAATCAGAACTGTTTGAATTGTTGTTAGCCTGAAGTACATTATCGCTGCTTAGTTTACTGAACTTTAATCCAGTAGTTGTCGCTAGTCGTTAGGTTCAGACGACAAAATTTTTATGAGCCGAACCTAATTCGAATTAATTAAGGCCGACGCCTGAATTGATTCAGACGCCGATCTTAATACCAGGCGAACTAAATCAAAAGGAGAAAAATGCTCATTTCGGTCAAACTACTTGTA